ATTTTTATAACATTTTATAAAATTTGTATACAAACCATTTTTACCCGGGTTCAGGTACTTTTTCCCTACTAGGCGGCGCGGGAGGGGGTTCTGGTGGGGATGACGTGATTCAAGTAGATCTCCTTGCTGTGACGGATTGTGGCCGAGACCACGAAGTGGGCGAGGGTGCGGACGTCAGCCCACGACAACCCAAGGTGTTTAAGTACCGGGCTGTTTGACGGGTCCCACGCCCCGAGGGAACCGACGACGAAGGCGTTCAGGGCGCGTGACACTGAGATGAATTTTCGCTCGGAAACTTTATTTAAAAATTTAAATACACTGCATTGTTGTATTTACAAGACTCCAAGGGTACACAGCCTGTTATGTGACCTCGCAGACCGAGAACCCTCGAAGTTGTGTTAGTGACAACGACCATTTTACAAGTGCTAAGTTGTCTACTTCGATAGAAAATCACTAGTTTGGGGGTTGTTTGTAACCCAACGACCTCAACCGAAAAGATCATGTCGTAATATGATGAAAATTGCCTAAAAATCGGGTGAGCCCGGGTGAGCCCAACTTGGCCGTCCTCTCACCACCGTTACAACTCCCCAACCAGGGCGTTCTCGATTGCAAACGACCTTAGTTATTCAGTTCACGTAATATGACCATTCACATTTGGTTCCGGACGTGCCATATTCGAAATACGGAGGTCAGTTACACTGCCCTACCCTCCCTTAGACTTATCCCTTTTTACCTCTAGAACTTAGGTTTTACTTGAATAAGGAGACAAGTCGAGTTGACCCCTTATGAATGATATAGCATTTAGAGATATTTGATAGATAACTCCTTTTGTAAGAAATTGAAGAACTTGCCCCCAAACTCCATTGATTGTTTAGAGGTAACTCGACTTATCTCCCTTTACGCAAATTTTCACGGGAGATACAATACATTTGTAAAATCTAGATAGGGTCGGTATCAAATATTCTACCCTCACCATTTTATCAAGCAGTTGAATAAGAATGAAAAATACATGTTTAGAACTTTTTTGAATTTGTAGCGTAAAACAGTTTTTGGTGTTTCCTGAAAACTTGTGGTTTTGCAGTTATCCCCTTCTCTTCCGCTTCATGGACCATTTCTTTGTCACCCCCTTTCACCCCCTTAGGCACGGTTGACAGGATTTGCCGTAGGTATTTCTTTTTCAGGGGGTGAACCTCAAGGTACCCTGATTTCAGACCTCTATCTAATTTCCTTCCTCTTACACGCACGACGGACGGACGGACACGAGAGCGGTTGCACAAGCCCGCTTTAATGCTTCTTTTTTTAAAGCAGAAGGGCGGGCTAAAAGTCGGGGGCCGGAACCACACTTCCGACTCCACTGCGCACTGCATGGAGAGTTTCCCCGTAAAACCTTCAACTTCTGTTTTATCTCAGTAGTGGCCTGCGTTGTTATCGGGCAACACTGTTATTCAACGAATGTGACGTCACGTTCGTTTCAATGTGATTCGTGTTACATTCGTTTAGATGTTGTGTCACATTCGCTTAAACGTGAATCGGCCAATGCCTGCGCCCATTTGAGCATCAATTCACGGGAAGTCACGTTCAAATGAATGTGACACAATATTCATACGAATGTGACACGTTTCACATTGAAACGAATGTGACGTCACATTCCTTGAATAACAGTGAACTTAAATCGGGAACTTTATGAGATTCGTGCGCTTACCCTAGTGTACAGTAATGTCCCTCTCGAAGCTGGCTCGCTCGAAGCTGAAATTTTGAGACGGATCCTGCTTAAGGGTGGGGGTTTACAACCTGGCGAGCTCGCGCGAGCTCGGGCGACAAAGCATTTACAACTGCCTGATGCCCGAGTCCGCGCCAATACAATAGGTTCGCAACATGTGGCTAACTTTCGGGTCGTCCTCTCGCAGCTGAAATCCGGTCCCGATTTGCCAGCTTCGAAAGGGACATTACTGTAATCTGCCTTTCACGAACAGCACTAATGTGCCGCCTCGGACCATCTGTTCATTTAGCTGGTTCGTTCCTCGCGCGGCTGATGCACCCCATCGCATTAACGCGTCCAACTCAAGCCCACTTGAGCGAGTGAACAGGACAAGTTCAAGCGCCTGGTTCGGACGCAGCCCAAGCGTATCGCGCGACCGTGAAAGAGGCGCCAGCCTGGCGAGGACAGCAATGGGGCTCGGCCAGTTAGGCAGTGGCCTTCGTTGCGCCTGCCTCGGCAAGCTGTGAGGCCAGTGTGGCAGTGTGGCCGCCGCATGCGTCTGGTAAACAACACAATGGTCCTACTGCCATGGATATCGGTGGTGGCCGCGGTGACAGCGGCCCTTGTGGCCTACGTGAAGTGGGCGCAGTCTTACTGGTGGAGACGCGGCGTGGTCCAGGTGAGCAGGGCTGGACAACACGAGATAAAATGGCCGACGGGGTGAGTTCCAGAAGGAAACCCGTCGCACGTAGGCTCGTTTGACTTGGATTTCAGCGTTCATTATGAAAATACTCTGAAAACTCAACAGTGTACGTCCTGCAAAAGAAACAGACCTCTGCTGCGGGCCTACTCAACGTTCCGGCTCAGGCGACAGACGGAAATCGCCGCCCCGTTGCCGCTGTGCCTAAGGATGGGGGTGGGGGCATACACTACTGCACAGCCTGGCTGGCGGTGCAGTAGATAAAGCAGATCCACACCGCTGTGGGACCCGTGTCCCCACTAAATTGCAGCCAGCGGTCGCGCTGCTCTGGCTCTTGGTGTAGGTCGGCTGGCTCGCCTTCGGCTGTGTAGCCGAACGCTACGCGGTGTGCGTGGGCGAGGGAGGGCTTGGGCTAACCGCCCCCTCCGTCAGACGGACTTAAAACCGCGCCTAACACGCGCCCAAGAAAATATTAAAGAACCTAGTCCAGGACTTTTCACTCTGGGTCACGTGTAGATGTGGAGGTATCGCACAGCTTTAATCTCCTTGTTTGATCACCCAGACTCGGCCTCGGCTTCTCGGTGACCTGTGGGACCAGCTAATGCGCAGACGGACGGCAGGGGACGTTATCCAATCGATCTGCAGGTAGGTGAAGAGAGCGGAATGAGGCGATCTCTCCCGGTAAATATTACATCAAAATGAGCCGAGTAGGGAATTAAAGTTTTCAAAATGAGCGGCATATTGTGGCTTTTCGCAGTAAATTCATCATTTTTGGTGGAGGTGGATACCGCTTGGGTTTTCTGGTCTAAAGGCACGTCGTAAAAAAATTTCCACTGCATAACACGCATTTTCACTGATCAGAGACAGTAAAAATCCTTGCAAAATGGATAAGCCTTAAATCTTGACTTTTGAGCGTTATGTCTCTTAAAAAATTGGGCGCAGACAAAACTGAAAGCTCCTACGTGCTCCTCTGTGTTTTTTGCGCATCATACGGATATTTTCAACTATTGGCGTGAATGCACTGCTCTGCGCAGCGCACACTGTAAGAAGTTCTATGGTAGATTTCCTATAAATGTCTCTAAAGCATTACCTATATACATATATAGGAATTTTCGTATACACCGGTAAGGCAATTTGCCTATGCGTGTTAGTATTCTCCTATATTTTCCTATACACCCGATGCCCTTTCAAAAAAGAAAAAGCTCCGTCCAGGAACGTATCGTGAAAGCAGATGATACAAATTTAAGTATTCCTGCCCACTCTATAATA